GGCCAGGGCTCAGGCTAGAACCTTGGATCAGACAGTCCCACCTCAGACCCAGTCCACACCATACCTCTACAATCAGGATGAACACAGCTCCAATGACAGTTACCAGTTCCCCCACCAGTCGGATAGCATCCTGGGGGGTCACATAGGCCTCCTGGGGAGAGAAACATGGTCAGTACTCAGGGTTTTCAGGCATCTGCCCTGCCTGCCCCTGGTCAGAAGTCAGTGTCCCTTGTTTGATTTTTCCTTTTAAAAAATATGTTTTTTAAATTGACTTTTAGAGAAAAGAAGGAAGAGAGAGAGAGAGAGAGAGAGAGAGAGAGAGAGAGAGAGAGAGAGAGAGAGAAATTGGTCAATTTGAGAGCAAAACATCAATTTGGGCATGTTCACTGACCAGGAATTGAACTGGCAACCTTTCAGTGCCCAGGGATGGTGCCCAACCAAGGGAGCCAGTGCTCGATTCTTTTTAACCTGTTTGGCTAGCAAGCTCCAACTCCACTCTTTGAGTGTTATGTGTGTTTCTGCATGTGTGTATTTTGAGTTTGTGCCTATGTGTTTGAGACCTGGGTGAGGGGGAAAGTGTGGGTTTTAGGACAAGTGATAACAAGTCTGAGAAAGGGGAGAGAGTGGATCCTGCCCAGAAACTCAGCTGCTCCTAGTGTGTCACCTGAAGGAGCTTCTGCTGCAGGAGGGTGTTGTCCCTGGGCTGTGTGCGGTTATCAGTCCTGGGCTTCAGGGGGCGGTAGATGCAGCACATGGTGAAGCAGATGATATAGAGCACATACAAGGCACCCAGCAGGCAAAAGTAGGGTCGCCCGTATCTCTTCCACTTGAGGCTCACCAGCTCCTTCACTGGTGTCTGGTCCAGGATCTGGCGAGCCTACATCAGGAAGAAAACAGAACAAGTGGCTCCGAGACCCTGATGTCCCTCCCCAGCCACTCTCTGACCTGAACTCTTTTTACCTCCCGCTTCTTGGTGGTGACAATCAGTTCCAGCAGTGATGGCTCATCCCCCGAGGAATCGATCTCTGTGAGATCATAGAGGGTATAGGTTGTCAACCCAAATGTCCCCTGGCTGTGCTTCCACTTCTGCAACAAGTGATTGAACATCTGGGGGAGGGGGAACACAGAGTCAGGAGGAACTGGTAAAGGGGAGGGTCACAAAGTGGGAGTGAGGAGCAGGTCCAGGAGAACAGCATCCCTGGAAAGGGTGGCTGCTCTTCAGTCACTGATCACAGCCTTCGGGGCAGAAAGACCCATGTATACGCTGACCCCTGGGTTGCTTTCTGACTCCCTGAATTGCTTTACTCCCTCTTGAACTTGGGAAGAGGTGAGAGTCTAGAGGGCTGCTGCCCGTGGACTGGAAGTGTGGGTGGATATGGGCATTACAAACCACCATAGCATGGGAGCTAGACTATAGCCTCCAACACCTCAGAAAAGAGAAAGTAGGCAAGAAAGGGTCAGGAACAAGGGAGACAGGGGCTGAGCAAACACTTCCAACCTGAAAATGGGAGCTAGGCATCAAGGATGAATGTTTACATCTATTTCCTCAAAGGGCTAGAACAGCAGTTCTCAACCTGTGGGTCGCAACACCTTTGGGGGTCGAACGACCCTTTCACAGGGGTCGCTTGAGACCATCGGAAAACACATATATAATTACATATTGTTTTTGTGATTAATCACTCTGCTTTAATTACATTCAATTTGTAACAATGAAATTGGGGGTCACCACAACATGAGGAACTGTATTAAAGGGTCATGGCATTAGGAAGGTTGAGAACCACTGGGCTAGAAGTATAGAATGGGGTCATTAGAAGGACACCTTGGGGTTGAAGAGTGTCCCTCACCACAGTGTTGCCCTCCACTCCTGCCAGCTTGAAAGGGGTGAGACCCTGGTGATTGGGTACAAGATCCAGGGACTGCAGGTGGCCCCCACGTTTGTCATAGGAGAGCAGCAGGTTGTACATCTGGCAGGCAAAGGTCTTGTTGGGCTGGAAGACGAGGATGTGCAACACTGTGTTTCCTGGGGAGGACACCGGTGTCATGTGGTTACTGGACCCTAGTCCCCGACAGTCCTCATGCCCACCCCAGAGTGGGCCTGACCCTTGTCCCAAACCCTCCCCTCCCATTCCCTTCCTGTTCCCTAGGTCCTTTCCACACTCCAGTGCTTACCCAGGGAGTCCTGGGCCCTGATGTTAGCTCCATGTTCAATGAGCAGACGCACGATCTCCTCACTGCCCACGCAGGCAGCAAAGGACAAAGGGTGCTCCCCTGGGGAAACAGAGGGCTCCATGGCATGAGTGCAGGCTGGGATGGGCACCTCCCCAGTGACTGCCTGTTCCTCCACACAGCTCAGCTCTAGACTTGGGAACACTTATCAGCAAAACCAGAGGCAGGGATGGTGCAGAGGCCCTGGGGGAATGGGCTCTGGCCTTAAGCCCTATAAGGGCTGACCCCAGTCCACCCCACCCCATCAGGCACAGAGCTCTCCTCATTCCATCCTCCCCTGGCTCTTGCCTGCTACCTACCTCCCCTTCCCCGGCTCTGGCTCTGGTTCTCACCAAAGTAGATGTGGTTGTGGGGGCTGAGGCGGAAAGCTGTTCCTGTAGCTCTGGCAGAGACGCTGGCCCCGTGGGCGAGCAGGGCTCGCACCAAGTTCACATTCTGGTTCATGATGGCCACGTGCAGTGCAGTCTGACCTGGTTCAGAGAGAGCCCTCAGGCATGGGGTCTGTCCCCAGGATTGTGCAGGGTCAAGTAGATATGGATGGGCCTGATCATTGTTCCAGCCACTCCTCTCCCACCCCCTTCCTATTCCCTAGGTCCTATACCATATCTTCACATGATCCTATACTAGGGCAGCCTAGGGGGTGGATACAGAGAGCCCTGGGCCAGGCAAGGTTCCCAGGGTATCCAGCCGTAGCCCCCTTTTTCCCATTCTCTAGGTCTCTCCATTTGGGGGGTTGGTGCTCTAATAACATGCCATGAGGAAGACAAGGCAGAAGGGAAAGGGAATAGGGAGTAGTGGGGCTCAGGTTCCCTCTTTGGTTTCCCCAAGTTATCCATCACAAAGTCTGACTTGCAATATCCAACAGGTATCCCCTTCCCTCCATCTCAGGCCCCTAGTTCCTCACCCTCATACAGCTCAGATGTCATGGGCTCCAAGACTAGCTCCGGGGCAGCCTCCATCAGCACCATGGCAGCCTCCAGGTTGTCATAGAGGGCCGCTATGTGCAGCGCTGTCTCCCCCATGACTCCTGAACAGAAAGAAGAGGTATGGGGCTTCTAAGGGCAGGGGAATGGGAACAATAGTGTCTTAGGGGCCCACAGCAGAAGGTCCTGGGCTATCCTGGGGAGCCACTCACATGCAGCTGATCCAGAAAGAGTTGGGTGCTGAGGGCTCTGCTCCTTTCTTACCTCTTTGGTGCACCTCACAGGCCTGATACTCGAGCAGCTTGTTGAGAGTCTGGACATCATTCTCTTTGGCAGCTAGAAGGAAAGGACACCCCAAGATCCTACAAGGAAATGGGATCAGAAAGGTATCAGTAGTGAGCATGCCCAGTGATGGGGTGACGGGTGAGGATTTGCTTGATTGTACGTAAACACGTGGACCTCAGTGATAATGAACCCCAAGGTCCCTGGTTCAGGGAAGTGAGGCCATTTGGGGTGCAAAGAGTTTCTGATCTCTTTTTTTCACTACCAGTTAGCCCAAAACTCAGTGACTGGTTTCTACATCTCCCCCACTCCGCCCCCTGCCAGGGTGTGGGCACCAGAATGTATGAACATAGCAGGCATGGAGGGGAGGAGCTCTACTTAGGCACTCACTCACCTCTTGAACTACTGACTTCTGGAACAACCCTGATTCAGCCTTCACTGAGTGTCCTGAGATGACCCTCCATGATAAGCCTTGTTTTCAAGGACAAGGAATACAAGGCATTCCTCCCTCTTGTTTGTGGAGGAAGTCAACACGCAGAGGTTAGCAGGTTTTCTCCTGTTGCATGGTGCTCTGCTTCCTCGACCTTCTCAGCGAAGCCCTTTGATCCTGGCTCTTCCCTCCCTGTACCAGCATCTTTAGGGCTCAACCCAAAAGGAATAGTGCAGCCTTTTTGTTTTCCTGGCAGATTATAGTCTCTTCCTACTTCCTATCTGTTTCTCACTTATTTTAGCAAAAATTATCTTCTCTGACTCCTCAATCCT